AATTATTATTGAATTATTAAGAGTTTACTATATTCAATAATTAATCAAATTAAAAAAAATAAAAAAAGTTTAAAATAAAATAATAATAATAATAATAATATTCTTGTTTTGGTTAATTTCTTTGAAATTATTTTTGATAATTCTTTTATAATAACTTTTTAATAAATATATTTATCTTAATTTTTGATAAAATACTTATAATTTTAATTGTATTTATATAATTTTTATTCTTTAAACCCATAATAATCTTTTGAATAAGATTATTTATCAATTTTAAAATAGTATTTGAATAGGTATATTTTAAGAACTTATTACTTATTTTTTTTAATAATTTATAAGTTTTTTTTTTTTAATCTATAGTCAGGTTAATATAATTTGTTTTTATTATATAAATATATAATATCTATAAATTATTTAACTTTTACATACTAACTTTTTCATTATCAAAAAACTATTTCTCTAGATGCAACTTGAAAAATAATATTTTGTTTTTTTACTAATTTGAAATATGTTTAATCAGTAAAATCATTATCTACAGATTATTATTATATATTATTTTAAATTCTGTATGCAATTAAATATCAAACCATTTTATTATATAACCAATCCAATTTTTAATAATTTCTGTATAATTATTTTTCTTATTTTTTTTTTACTTTTTCTTAATTTGAAATTTTAATTATATAATAATTTATAAGTTTTTATAATCTTTTAAATTTTCTATATAAAGTTCTATTCAAGATAATTCTATTTTTTTGAATATTTTTTTATTAATAATAATAGAGTATTCTAATATTTTATTATAAATTATACCTTTTATCTTTTTTTTGCTAATTTTGCTGTTAACATTTTTTATAAAATTATTATATTAAATTACAAATTTTTTTTTCATAATTAATTTAATATAAAAATTTTTTATTAGCCTTTATGACATAATATTTAATAATTATTACTTTATCAAATATTTGTTCCAAGTAATAGGATTGTTTTAAAGGTTTGATAATAGACTGTTACTAAAAGTTAGTTACATAATTTTTAAAAAAAAGCTTTGAGATTTATTTGAAATAATATATTATCAGCTATTATTTAAATAATATTCTTTATTTCCTTTTTCTTGTTAATTTGAGATATTTTATTTAAGACTTTTATTTTGATTCTGATTTTAAAGTTTTTTTAGTTTTCAAATAGATTTAGATATTCACATAGTTGTGTCAAATTGTATTGAAGAAATTAAGTTATTATGAGATTCTTGAAGTTTTTTTTTCAGTTTCTTTCTCTTGTCTCACTACTAATCCTTTTCATATATACTGTTTCAAAAAATTCGAGAGTCTCAGCTAAATTATTATTGATAATATCTTGTATTAAAGAGATTGTAAATGTTTTAGGTTCTATCAAGATTCAGATTGGATTGAGCTATATTTTATTTCAGGCAAGGGATGGGTAACACCTTTCTTTTCATAAGAATGGCTCTTGATAAGTAGTGAAATATCTTTTGTAGATGTTCCTGCTAATTAGTAATAGCTTGCATCTGTTTCTGTTTCAATATTGTAATTCTATATTTAAGCTCGTTTTTTTTCTGCGATCTGCTCCAATTTGGTAATCCTGGCTTTAAGTTTAGCATTCTCAGCTTCGCACTTGGTTCTCTCCTTCGTAACCTGTTTTAAAAGCTTGGTATTCTTGACTTCGAGCTCAGAAATTCATTTTTTTGAATCAACCTCAAAATGCTTGTTTTAGTAATAGATTGCATATATATATTATTTATTAAAATATATAATTAAAGTAGCAAAATTTTGGTAATGAAAACATACTGTACTTCGCACTATTTTATTCATTGTTATAATTGATGCTGTAATTACATGCCTTGATTGAATAAAGCAAATTAAAATCTATATTGAATATTGCTTTATACAGAAAACATCATAAATGAAATCAAGATAATATACTAATTTCTTCTGGGAACCTTTAATGGTGTATGAAAAAATGATCGCGTCATTTCATTAATTGAAGTCACATTGCCTTGAATTGTTTCACATTTAGATAAGCGAATATTTTTTTTTTTTAGATTTCAGTGGAACGGGTCATTATAGTCTTTTGTAGATAAAAGATAAAAGATAGATTTTAAATAAAATCTAATAATATTATACATTATATACTAACTTTGATTTGCATAAGGCGTTCTATTAAAGTGGGAAGTACGTTAAGATCAGAACTATCTCGAGGGAGATAAAATTTCCCCAAAAGAATCAACCGATATATGGCTTCATATTTTAAATCCATAACAAATAAACGACATTGGAAACCTAGTCGTAATTATGCAGGAAAAGGTAATTAGATTACAGAAGTTAATGTAATTTTAAGAAATGCCAATAACCTACCTTCCACCAATAAACCACAAATTATTAAATCGTTACTTTTTACTCCATCATCATTGCATTTGTCAATTATATACTTCATTTCGTTGCCTAGTTTTACAAAATCACAATCTTCCAAAGAGGTTTATTTCTATTTGATAAAATGAAATCAGCAGACTTTATTTCCGAAGCCAAAAAATAGAATTTATTACCTCTAATAGGCAAATATACCGAAAAATCAGCTTTTCGTCCCTGCAATATAGGGTCAAATTTACGCTTCCGATGTACAGACGCTTCTAAGACGTCAGTTGACCTGAAAATAATCAGATAACATTTAAATATACAATTATAATAACAATATAAGATAAATTGCGTCCAAAAAGTTACCATTCACATTCAAAATAAGTGTTGCGGAAAAATGGCCTGATCACAGGTTCAAAAACTTCATGCGCAAAGGAATCTTCTTTTAAACCTTGCCTGTACACTTCCGGTTTAAAATCATTTATACTATAATATAGAAAATATATTATGTTAAATAAGTAGCGATAAACAATAAGCCTTATAGATACTAACATTGACTCGAATATTTCTAAAATTAAATCTTCTTGATCATTATCAAGATCCTTTTGTCATATTTTCGATAATGATTTGCATTTTCTAAAATCTTCACTTGCGGTCTATTTAATAAATACGTTATTATGAATAATCAACATATCAAGACTATCAGAAAAGTCATACCTGTGCCATTTTATAACACCGTAAAACATCACCATTCGATAAATGATATGGTGAAATTCATTTTTGATAGTATCAAGGATTTCGGTTCGAACATTGAAGAAACCTCAGTTGTCACATTTTGTTCGAATAAAAATATATGATCCAATGAACTAAAACAATAATGAGAAGCATTTTAAAAAAAAAGAACATAATCGAACGCATAAAGAATTTGTCAATTTAGAACTTACAGTATTTCAGCAACTTCTTCAATCTTATTCTCAGAAGCTCGTTGAACTGACATATCACGATATTCTAATAATAAATTCGAAACGTCTGTGTTGATAATCCACTGCGTATATAAAGAAGAATTAAAATCTTTTCTAAATAGATTCAAATAAAAGTTTAAAAGTTACCTTTTTTGCACCCTCACTTAATGAAGATTTCATAACACCGGGTCCAGTAAACCAGTCATAGGTATAATTATTTCTCTTCTTTTTTATCTCAATAAAAGTATCATCATCTGGTTCATCTGAACCGGGATAATAGGATTTATTTGAATCATTCCCGCCGGGTGTTGTAAAAAGCCAATTCAAGTTGTTCTCATCTGTTATTCCAGATGCAATAAAAGGGTTGTTGGAGTCGTTTTCTATAAAATTTAAATTCTAGAAATAGATTTGTTAATTAAAATGAATAAATGCTCAATAGTTCATATAATTAACACTAACCTTTACCACATGTTTCGGGGGGCTTTCTTTTGCAACATCTAGAAGTCGTTTAGTAGTCATTGAATAAGTAAAGTCATTGGTGTCAAGTTCTGATTTTTTACCGTTTTCCAGCAATTTATTTCCACAGCGATTTCCTGAAATTTGCATCTGACAAATATCGCATATTAAATCAGTGAAATTGACTGAGAGAAACAAGCCCAAAAGTTTTGTAACCTACCATATGCCATCTTTCGATGATACGATACCAATCTGCTTTGTCATTAACTACCTGCATATTTATAACTTAAAATTTGTCAGAGCATACTTATTGAGTTGGGAGATGATTATGATGATCCGCAATGTAAGCATTACTATGTCCGCAATGCAATACCGGTAAACCCGACTGAGGCTCCCACAACACTACGATGTTCGAAATGTTAGGAATGTAAAACCGCATTCAGTAAGCCCGACTGTAGCTCCCACAACACTACTGTGTCCGTAATGCTAGGTAAAACCGCAATCAGTAAGCCCGACTGAAGTCACGTAACACTACTATGTCCGTAATGTTAGGAATGTAAAACCGCAGTCAGTAAACCCGACTGAAGTTCACATAACACTACTATGTCCGTAATGCTACGTAAAACCGCAGTCAGTAAGCCCGACTGAAGTTCACATAACACTACTATGTTCGCAATGTTAGGAATGTAAAACCGCAGTCAGTAAGCCTGTAGCTCCCAAAACACTACTATGTCCGTAATGTTATGTAAAACCGCAATCAGTAAGCCCAACTGAAGTTCACATAACACTACTATGTCCGTAATGTCAGGAATGTAAAACCGCAGTCAGTAAGCCCGACTGTAGCTCCCACAACAATACTGTGTCCGTAATGTCAGGAATGTAAAACCGCAGTCAGTAAGCCCGACTGTAGCTCCCAAAACACTACTGTGTCCGTAATGCTAGGTAAAACCGCAGTCAGTAAATCCGACTGAAGTTCACATAACACTACTATGTCCGTAATGTTAAGTAAAACCGCAATCAGTAAGCCCGACTGAAGTTCACATAACACTACTGTGTCCATAATGCTAGGTAAAACCGCAATCAGTAAGCCCGACTGAAGTTCACATAACACTACTATGTCCGTAATGTTAGGTAAAACCGCAGTCAGTAAACCCGACTGAAGTTCCCACAACATTACGAGGATGATATTTGACACGAATGCCTTACACGGAGAAAATGATAGTAATACTTTCCTCAATATTCAATAACTTTGCAGTTAAATCGAAACGCCTTGCCCATGCACCCTCCAGTCCTAGAAGGTCACTTGTTTGAGTAGATGATCTGGCTACAAAGTCAACGTTTAAACGAACAAATTCTGACAAAGAAGGAATAACGTTCTGATCATATGTCCACGTGAAATATGACTTAAAGACTGAAAATTTGATATTGTATTAGTAAGTAAATGCAGAAAGTCGCGTCAGTTTCAGAAAAACGTGTACTTGCCATCGAAACCATACGGTTTATTCGTTTGTTGGCTCATAGTAGGGAGAGTGTAAACAAATAGATAAATTACAACCGTTGTGAGTCCGGAGTAAATAATCACAAGTCGTAACCAGATCCCATGACTGATCAAATTTTCGGGCCCCAAAATAGTCACCCCAAAAATTAATATTGGGCGTTACCAATTAAATTGTGATTTTCGCATAGCGAAATTTGCGAAATTTGAGAGAATCATGGGAGTCTACACTAATATTTCATGGAACTAACTTTATTTAAATATAATATATACTAAATTTATTTTTTTTGCTAATCCACAATAATACTATAATGGCATGTCTATTGAGAAATTAAACCAAAATCTACAATAGGTTATAGACTTTCGCAAAGTAACTAACTCATCTTTATCATAAGTACTCTAAAGCAGATTTTGGAAACAATATTATATTTCCCCTAATATGATTAGATTAATCATAATCTACCAAAATCATTGTCAACAATTTGTTACTATTCAATGATCTGAAAACCAATGAATTGCTAAATTAAAGGGAAAGGAAAAAAATAATTGAAAAAGAAAACAATTCAAGGCTCACCAAAAAAGTCCAAAAATAAAAACAATATTCTCTCAAAAAAGATCTGCCTGATTGATATAATCTTCTTGTTTTACTTAAACCTTGAAAAAAATATTCTTTGTCACTATTTATAACATTAAACAAGACAATTTAATTGATTCTTTATTTAAGTTAGCATTGAATTAAAATATTAAAGAAAGCATTTAGATCTCAGTTTTTTTCTATTAAAATTTTGTCACTACCTAAGAAACTTAAAAAAGATATAAAAGTCTATAATCTATTTTTTTTCTTTCTCCCCCTTTTAAGCGCTAACGAGATCTTCTCATATAAGGGACTCCTAATACCAATGGTGTTGGATATCTTAGGTGAGTTCTTGGCACATTAGTCACCCCTAACAAGGATAGCAACAGGTCATCCGGTGGGAAAAACCCTAGAAAGCAAAGGTTCTAGAGATAGGGTTAACGGGTGGTGCCATTCCAATGGAGAAGATTCTCCAACTCCTATAGCTTGTTAGAGTTTAGAGAAAGTCTTATACTAAATAGTCAATAGTTACCCCATTCTGATTGGGTAAGACATAAATAAATACCCCTTTGTACTATTCGTTGATCTGTAAATCCTTAGGCAGTAAGGGTGATTAGTCATCCCAGTTGTCCCTAGGATATATCTTGATTTTAATAGAGTATATGCACTGACACAGGAATGAGCTAACGTTTAAAAAAAAGAAAAAAAAAAAAAATAGATTATAGACTTTTATATCTTTTTTAAG